GCTCCCTGCTGATGCACTTGCAAGTCAGCAGAGCATGAGTCAAGTACCTGAGCCCAGACACCCCACAAAACCTGGAAGCAGTTCCGGGATCCTGGCTGGGGCCTGACCCAGCTCTGGCCACTGCAGCCACTTTGGCAATAAGCCAGCTGAAGGAAGGGTCTCTCCCCTCTGAAATTCTGCTTTTCAAGTAAATGAAAAGCAAATCTTAAATAAATATGGAAAGAAAAATGTTGCCACAGAAGGTAGCATACTTCTGGGACAGCTGTGTATGTACTATAAGGTCAAGCATATGGACCAAAGTTGAAGGAACTAGAGAACCTCCAAAGCAGGCCAAGGAGTCTGCACTTAGAAGCAGCCAGTGGGGTCTGTTCTAGCTTTCCTATACCTGAAGACAAGCTCCGTGTTGGCCAACCAAAACCCCAAGGGAAAATAAGTCAGATAAGGCCACGCCTGCGCTGGCAGCCTCACACGGCTGGCGCTCTGAGCGCCACCTGCCCACTCCTCCCCCCCCCCCCAGGATGCAGCAAGGCACACGCAGACGCGGGAGGGTTCCTAGCTCCGCTCTGACCCAGCCATTTGGGGAGTGAGCCAGTGAATGGCAGATCTCGGTGTCTCTCCTCTCTAGCTTTGCTTTTCAGAAAAATAAAACTTCAAAAGTAAATAAATGTAAATTGAAAAGAAAAAGCAAACAAAAGTGGCCCTTAATGATATGAAAAATAATGGAATTTGGGACGACCACAGGTAGGAGGAAGTGGGAAATCCCAGAACAGGAGAAGACCCCACATTCTGAATGCAGCCAAATCTCTAGGCTGCCACGCAGCAGAGCTCCAGCGGCCGAGCAGGCAGCGAGGCTGCCAGAGCACTGCCCAACCATAAGACGGGCAGCAACACAAAACACACTCAGCAATTACACCATCTGCAGCCTCTACTACAGCTTGCTCACGAGGCCAAAGATACAACCCCAAATCATTCAAAATTTAAAAAAAGAGAGAGAGAGCCAGGCGCGGTGGCACAGTGGTTAAGGTCCTCACCTTGCACGTCTGGGATCCCATGTGGGCGCCAGTTCTAATCCCGGCAGCCCCACTTCCCTTCCAGCTCCCTGCCTGTGGCCCGGGAAGGCAGTCGAGGACAGCCGAAAGCTTTGGGACCCTGCACCCGCGTGGGAGACCCGGAAGAGGCTCCTGGCTTCGGATTGGCTCAGCTCCAGGCACTGCGGCCGCCTGGGGAGTGAATCATCGGATGGAAGATCTTCCTCTCTGTCTCTCCTCTCTGTATATCCACCTTTCCAATAAAAATAAAATAAATCTTCAAAAAATGAGAGAAAGAGCAATCCAAGAAAGAGTTTAAAAGACAGTAATTTCAATAAAGCTATATGATCATGCTAAAAAGAAAGCAAAATAGTCCCAACAGTGAAAAAAAGTATACAACACTGGAAAATGCCGTTAATCTCTCCTAGCAAAGAAACAGCAGTAGCTTGGGTGTTAGGTAATGACGAGTTGTAAAATATCAATTTAAAAAAAAATAGGGCCTGGTGTGGTAGCCTAGCGGCTAAAGTCCTCACCTTGCACATGCCAAGATCCCATATGGGATTTGTAGTACCAAAATTATGGGATATTGGAAGGGACTGGCAGAGATTAAGAAAGATATAAACTCTAACCGAGAAAGTTTCTTAATAGAGAAACCTATGAACAAACTCGACATTTTGAAGAAACTGTCTATTCATTTCTGCTTTATGGCTAAGGGGTCAGTCTTAAGCTGCAGGGTCTTGAAGTTCAGCATTGCTTTACGAGATTCCTAAACTTAGTTTTTGTGTGTGACCTTGAATCTTAATCTTGCTGAGGTTAATCTTTCTTTGAAGTCGGATAACCTTGGGATCCAGTGTGCTGGCTTAGTTTGTTAACCCTCCACCTCCAAGCCCTGCGACCCCATGTGGGTGCCAACTCCTGTCCCAGCTGCTCCACCTCCCATCCACTTCCCTACTTGTGGCCTGGGAAAGCAGTGAAGGCTGGCCCAAAGCCTTGGGACCCTGCACCCGTGTGGAGACCCGGAGCAAGCTCCTGGCTCCTGACTTCGGTCGGCTCAGCTCTGGCCGTTGCAGCTGCTTGGGAAGTGGGTCAGAGATGGAAGTTCTTTGTCTCTACTTTCTGTAAATCTGTCTTTGCAATAAAAACAAAGTAAATTTTTAAAATATGCTAATCTCCTTGGGCAATGCCAAGAATTGACCAAAATGTATGCATTATGAAGTGGCAAATACCAGGAACAGGTTCATTCCTTTCCTGGGTTCGGTCACCGCGCATGGCTTTGTCTTGGAAAGATTTAGCTCCTCACACTAAGATGAGATGGGTAAAACGCTGTGGGGTGGCAGGGAAAGTTTCAATATGGGCAGTTTCAATCCCGAGCTGCCTGCCCCACCTCTGGTCCAGACCCCTGTTAACGCGCCCAGGGAAGCAGCAGAGGATGGCCCTGGGGCTTGGGCCCCTGAGCCACGTGGGAAGCACTCCCGTCTCCTGACCTGAATGGCTCAGCTACAGCTACTGCAGCCTTCTGGGGACGGAATCCTGTCTCTTCCTCTCAACTCTGCCTTTCAAGTAACTAAATATTTAAAAACAAATAAGCACAAATAAGATGAGTATAGAAATGCTTACTGAACCCTTTGTACCCTAATAAACTAAGATTATTAAAATTTTTTTAAAAAATGCTTACTGATAAGATAGCTGATCAAACTATATTATGGAAAAGGATTATGAAAGATACTATGAATAGTACTCTTTAGAAAAAAAGAGGGCATAGTAGCCTAAGTCCTTGCCTGGAAAGCACCAGGATCCCATATGGGCACCGGTTCTAGTCCTGGCAGCTCCACTTCCCATCCAGCTCCCTGCTTGTGGCCTGGGAAAGCAGTCAAAAACGACCCAAAGCCTTAGGACCCTAAACCCGTGTGGAGACCCACAGGAAGCTCCTGGCTCTTGCCTTCAGATCAGCTCAGCTCTGGCCATTGTGGCTACTTGAGAAGCGAACCAGCGGATGGAAGATCTCTCAGGCTATCCTCTGTGAATTTGACTTTCCAATAAAAATATATTTAAAACCAAAAAAAATCGAGACACGTGAAGTGATTACAATTTTACTCTGAAATTCTGCCTCATTATTAAAACTATTTTTCAGGGTCTAATCTCTCAGCCTCAAAAACAAAACAAAAATAAGTCTATATGTATGTTTAATTTTATCTTTTCTACTGGAGGACAAAGGCTGACCCTCATTTCTGACTGGCAAGCCTGCAAGCTCCTGCGGAGAGTCTCTTGTGGCGCGGGTCCCGTGGGTCCCCCTCCTCTGCCGCAAGCAAAGCCATCCCTGCCTCCATGACACTGCTTGGCGCAGAGCCCTGACCACACTACTCCTGCACAACTCCACACACTCCCAACTGTCTCTGAGAGAAAGGCAAAGCCTTTAGCATGGCATGCAAGGAGTTTCAAGTGTCATCTGGGAACACATTTTCTTAGCTCCAGCAGTAGGGCTGGCTTTTCACCCACTGTTTCTTGCCATCATAGATTCCCCCACCTCCCCATTTTTAAAAGATTTATTTTATTGACAGATATACAGAGAGGAGAGAGAGGAAGATCTTCGTCCGTTGATTCACTCCCCAAGTAACTGCAATGGCAGGAACTGAGCCAATCTGAAGCCAGGAGCTAGGAGCCTCTCCCTGGCCTCCCATGCGGGTACAGGGTCCCACAAGGCTTTGGGCGGTTCTCCACTGCCTTCCCAGGCCACAGGCAGGGAGCTGGAAGGGAAGCAGGGCTGCCGGGATTAGAACCGGCACCCATACAGAAACCAGGCATGTACAAAGCATGGACTTTAGCCACTAGGCTACAGCGCTGGGCCCATCGTGGATACTCTTAAGTTGTCCTTCCAGCCTTAATCTGTCATTGCTACCTCTAGGAGAAACTCCACCTTCAAACCAAACTGGGCAGCCCTGTTCATATTCACACTGTACTTTCACACTGTAACCAAATGCACCTTCAAGTTCTCCTGACCCCAGACTATCAATTTCCACAAGAGCAGGGGCTCTGTGCGCATCTTCAACCTCACATGAGGAAAACCATGGTGCCAAGCTCAAAAACAAGATGTAGACTCCAGACACGCTCCATTGGGCTCCGCACACAGAAGACACTGCTCAAACGGTAACGAAGATGGCTAGCTGGGGCGAGCCAGGCCCGATCCACCGCACTCTGCAGGTGGAATAGTCCCATTTTACCCAGGCGAGCAACTCAAGGTCATACAGATGCAAGAGGCCTGGACGCTCCGGGAAACCCTGAATTCACTGCAGGCTGCTCCGTTCTGCCTGCCTGTAACAGGCAAAAGGGGGAAACAAACAAAAAACCAGGGCCTCTTCCTTCACAGCAAATGCCTTTGTGATCTCCCTGACGGACATTTTCAAGCGAAAGCGAATGCTTCAACCTTTTTCTAACTGTGAGATGTCCCGGGATTTCAAGAACGTAAACCACCTCCTGCGATTCTTTCATTGCGGTTTAGTTCACAGTATGAAACGCCTATGGACGGAGCCTTTCCAATATGCAAAACACACCAGGGCAGGCTTCACCCAGCAGTCAGGTTTTGTTTTTTTTTTTTTTTCCCCACCCCGCCTCGGGGACTCAGCAACCTCCCAGCAACGAGTCACCAGACCAGCCGCGCAAGGTGCCTGCGCCTGCAGAGGCGGGGGTTCTCAGGGACGCAGCTGGCCTCCCCGGGCAGCCCACTGGGAGGCCAGGGCGGACAGCCGGGGGCGGACAGGGCACCGAGCTGCCCCTCCTGCCCGTCCTGGCATCCCCCTCGGCCGGCCCTCCTGCCTCGGCGCTGTGGCTGCAGCGGCCTCGCCCATCACACAAGGCCGCAGCGTCCGGGCGCCCGCCGCCTTCCGGCCTCTCCGGAGAACCCCCAGGGTTCTCCCACGCCCAGAACTACGGGAGAGGAGCGGCTGCAGAGCCCGGGTTCCTCCCAAGCCTCCTTACCCACTGGGCAGCGAAGCCAGCCGCCCGGGCCCGGAGCGCCGCGGAGAGGAACATGGCGGCCCCACACCGTTCACCTTTCCCAGGCCGCGCAAGGCCAGAATCCCCAGCGAGCCCCGCACGCACGACGTGCGCGCTCCCGAGACAGGCCGCCGCCCCCCGGAGCGCTTGCCCCTCACCCCGACGCCCGGGCGGGGCGGCCGACGGGAGCGCGCGCGGCCGCGCGGGGGCTGCTGGGACCCCCGGGACGGAGACGTGTGCGAGGGTTCGAGGCCCAGGGCTGACGCGGGGCCCCTGCAGGGCTCAGGACGCGGCCACCTTGAGAGGAGGCGCTCCGAGGCGGCCAGCTGTGCTCCTGAGACGTGGACTTGTTGGCCCGGGTGTAAAAGGGTGAGCTTCCCTCTTGGAGAACCTCCTGCGGGTTAACCACCTGTCCTTGAAGAAATTCCTATTCTTATATAAGCCCGGTTCTTTTGTACATATTAGAAATTTTGCGTAGTAAAACTTGGAGGCAGAACAAACAAGCAAACCCAGCACTTCCTCAATGTGTGTCGTTTCTGGACATTCCAGCAAGGTGTGCAACGCGTCTCCTGCTGTAGGGAGCTTCACTGCCCTTCATTATATCCGTGTGCCACCCCCTGCACTTGTCCACCTTCTTTGCTAAGAGAAACTTACGAATGATTTTCTGAAATTTTCACAGCAACACAACATTTTAAAAGGGAAAGAGATTCTAGCCCTCAATCACAATTGAAATTATTGAATCATGAGATCACTGAAATAGATACTCAACACTTGTGATCCACACAATTGCTGTTACATTCCTTACACACCTAACACCAAAAGGTGTCAGAAATTACAAACTAACAAGTGGAGAAGACTGGCAGGTGGGTGATTTCTTTGAATCTGGTTTGAGTCCTTTTACTGGATTTTATCAGGACCTCCTCCTCTCACCTCCCAGTTCACGCTAGCCCTTGAGACGCCAACCTGTACCTGTCTCTACTTGTGTGAGCACATTTACCACCAAGTCATAAACCTCCTGGGTGCAGAGGCCTGCTCTTGCCGCCTTGTTGGATTCAGCCACTGGCTTATGGAAGGAGAAGAGTCGATCTGTTGACTGAAGAAAACTTTTTTGGCTGAATGGAAATTTTTTATAGTTTGCAACTATATCGCCTATATAAAGGACTGCATGTCTCAACTGGAATTACAGTTATTGGGATGGGGAGACCTAACTGGATGAAGCCACGTTGAGTTCATTATCTCACATCAATAGAATTCCAGAGGTAGAGCAGTTGCAGGTTCCAGCCTCAAAATCCCAAATGCTCCCTGTCTTTCTACTCCACCTACCCAGCCATAACTCCTCTTGGGATCACAGGATGGCTGTAGAAGCCAGAAAGAATTCTCAACTCTGGAGAGTTCCAAGTGTTCCTCCAGGAAACGTCGTTGTCTCGTTGCATACGGGTGATGGTGGTTAGAGCGCAGGCTCTAGAAACAGACTGTGGGCTTTGAATCCCGTCTCTATTGCCTTCTAAGCTGTGTCGCTTTAGATGAGGCAGTCTGTAGGCTTCAGTTCCCATCCTAGAACCTTCCTCATAGCTTTCTCATGAGAATGACATGAGCTAATAACACTTGTGAAGTTCTTCACAAAAGTGCTTGGTGCCAAGGGCAGGTCTTTGGCCTAGCAGGTAAGAGGATTTGAGCCCCAGCTGTGCTCCCAGGCTCCGGCTTCCTGCTAAGACAGACCTCCAGGAAGCAATGGCTCAAGTGCTTGGGTTCCTGCCGCCCGTGTGGCAGACCTGGGCTGAGTTCCCAGCCGTGACCTGGCCCAACCTTGGTGGTTGTGGGCATTTGGCGAATCGCAGTCATCAATGGTGGCACATTCTTCTCTCTCTAAATCATACTACTAATAATGCTTGCTTTAAGCGACCTGGTGCCTACGGCGGAGTAAGTGCTCAGTACCAGCTTCCATCACCATGGCATCACACTGCCAAGATGATGAAGCTGCTCAATGGGAAGGAGTAGGACTTGATCACCCAGGAAGAGACCACGGCACAGCAGTGTCTTTGGGATTTCACAATCCACGAAGAAGGTGTAAATCCATCCATGGTTGGTGGTCTCATGATCAAGGACCAGAGAGCCTCAAATTCTGATACCTAGGAGCAGAACCAAGGGGGCCGGGTTCCGCAGAAGGGCGGATGCGCTTGGTTCGGTTGTCATTCAGCTGCCAGGAAATGTGATACCACCATGGTCCTCAAGTCGAAAGATGCAATGTCCAACTGAGCCCAAATGATCTCAAGTGAAAACATCAAGCTTAGTTTTCCCCACACCCAGCCATGTAAGTTATTCTGGAGGTGTTCCACTTAAAAAGGATTGGAATACACAGTCAACTGTCCTTACGAGTGTGGGCCTTTTCTTCTCTCAAAGCCATTGTTCCTGGACACAGATCAACATGGTCATTACTGATCCAGTCCTGTAGGCATGATGAACATATGGCTAGCTGGATAATCATCCCACTCTGCTGAACTAGTACTCCTGCCATAAACCCAGGGCAAGGAGCTGTAACTGTGGTAGTCAACCTTTCAGATAAAGAACATGCAGAGTTCAGCGTTGGAGGAAGAATAAAATCTCAGAGACATCCAAATTTGGCAATTTTTGTTCTTTCATTTTTATGATGTGTTGCCCATTTAAACCACCACTCCTAGAAGCTGTTTGAAGACACTGTGTAATGAAAAACCATTAATTTTGTAGTTAGCCAAACTTGGGTTTCAAGTGTGACCACAACACTGAGAAGAATATATATAGATATATTCTGTGAAACCTCAGTCCACAGTTTCTGAAAGTATACTTAGAATATTAAATCACTCAGTTAATGGAAAATGATGACCACACCCCCAAGAGCACAGTGAAGGTTAAAAAAGGGCTTCGTTTGTTTCCAGTATCTAACAAGGCGGCCTGTTCCACCTGCGGAATGCTTTAGTCAGGTATTCTAAACTGTGATTATCTCCCCTAAGCCATACCCTATGTACTGGAGCAGCCACAGGCAGATTGGGGGCACTGCTTCTTGGCAGGTCCACACGCTGACTTGCCAGTCTTGCCAGGAATCATGGACAATGTGAGCTGCAGGCCCAGGCCTGTGCTGCAAGGAGGAAGAGCTGAGACCCACAGAAAGGTGGCAGGAGGTAAAACCTGAATCCAGGCCCTCCACAACTGTAGGGCTGTGGGTGTCCAAAGCAGTGGCTTACCTGACATAACAGGTGCCTGCCAACGTGTGAATGTAGTCTAAGGAAGTAGCTGGGTACATACACAGAAATGTTAATCAGAGCATTGTCATAATCCTTCAAACCTTACAGTCATGTGAAAGTTCATCAACAGAGAACTGACGGAACAGGTCCAAGTAAGTCCTACAATGGGGTTTTCTTCTGCAGCGTTGAAAATAATGAGCAACTGTAATTGTTGTAAAGGGAGAGATGCCCATGATATAAGTTTGATAAAACAAAACATGGCCACCTTTCATGTATGTTGTAGAAAAATACAGAAAAGCACACATATAATTCTTAATAAGAGTTCCCTCTTAAATGATGACATTTAAGGTAATTTTAATTTTATCCCTGTAATATCTGTAATAACAGAATTTATTTCAGAGTTCATGTGTATCTTGTTGGTCAGTTACAAAAGGATTCCTAAGAGTGTTTGAAAAAGTTTGCAAAAATAATAGAATTAAAAGATAAGCTTATTTTGGTGCAGAAAATGATAAGTGTGAGATTTTTTTTGTTAAAGATTTACTTATTTTTATTGCAAAGTCAGATATACAGAGAGGAGGAAAAACAGAGAGGAAAATCCTCCATCCAATGATTCACTGCTCAAGTGGCCGCAACAGCTGGTGCTGTGCCAATCTGAAGCCAGGAGCCAGGAGCTCTTCCTCTCCCACATGGGTGCAGGATCCCAAGGCTTTGGGCCGTCCTCGATTGCTTTCCCAGGCCACAGGCAGGGAGCTGGATGGGAAGTGGAGCTGCAGGGATTAAAACCGGCTCCCATATGGGATCCCGGTGTATTCAAGGCGAGGACTTTAGCTGCTAGGCCACTGCGCCGGGCTCTAATCTATGAGTTTTTCCCATAATATGCATTTTCCATGAACTTTGTGAAGACTGCCTTAAATGCATTGATTTCATTTTTTTTCCACAGAAATAGACTTTTCTCAATCTGATTTTTCCACAAACTTTTTGAAATGTTCTTATGTAAAAATTATTTCAGTAGCCAGTTCTCATGAATTTTGCCTTAACTAAGAAAATTTGTATTGCACCTTGACAAGTTCATTTGCTACATATGCTTGTATGCTGAATGAATAATCCAGGTAGTATAACAGAAGAGTCATTGGAACAGGGTGAGATTGGTCAGCAAAGATCTTCATTCATTCATTTACTGTACATGCACATTTTCACGATTCTACACAGTGCCTATTGTACGCAGGTGGTAAGGTGCTGGAACTACCAGCTGTCTTACCGGTCTGAGCAGGGAGAAGATTATAGTACAGAGTGTCTGAGCAGTGTGAGTGGTAACTTGGAGGAAGCCATGACTGAGGTTTCTTAGGGAGTCAGAACAGCTTTGTCCAAGGTGGGTCACTTGGATTGACACTTGAAAGCTACAGAGGAATTTGCTACAAATAGGGCTGCTTGGAGGATTGCTGGGGAGGATTTTCACCTGAAGGAGGTGAAAGAGGGGCACGTGTTTTGGCTCATCAGGGTAAGCCACCGCTTGTAATGACGACCCCCTATATCAGAGTCCCAGCTGCATTGCTTTGGATCCAGCTCCCTGTGAATGTGGTTGGGAAGGCAGTACTAGATGACCCAGGCATTGGGTCCCTGCTCCCTATTGTGGGAGACCTGGATGGAGTGTTTGGCTCCTGGTTTCAGCCTGACCCAGCCAAGGCTGTTATGGCTGTTTGGACAGTGAACCAGCAAAAGGAAGACTCTCTCTTTCTCTCTCTGCCTTTCAAATAAGTAATACATGAAATCTTTTAAAAAGAGAAAGAAAGAGAAGGAAGGAAAGAAAGAATTCAGAGATAAGTATTGTTGGAGAACCACTGCAAAGTCAGGGTAGCAAAACATTAACC